AAAAAAAAAGTACAGACAGCACTGTTTCATTAATAAGGGAAGGAGAAAGGTCCTAGTGCACTATCTAGAAGAAATGAAGTGAAGCAGACCTTAGAACAAGGCAGGTCTTGCTCATTCAGAAGTCACAGGGTGTTCAGTTAGAAGAAATGAGACTGTTTCAAGGTCCTTGAGTGTAGCAAAGTACCACAGAAAAAGCACAAGGGAGCTTTAAGACTGTACACAGCAGGAAGTACTACTATAAGGAATTCTCGGACAAAAGGGAGCTCACTGTATGCTAATGCATTTGTGAAGTACCCCAATTTTCTGAAACTACATTTTTTTAGATCAACTAAAATCAGAACTTTCTAGGCTTACAATGCTACCAACGGTCCTTCTAATGCTTTTTACATTGAAACTTGGATTTCTGTCAAAACAGTAGATTATTATAAAATTGTTTGTTATAATTCAAGATGATATACAGCAGGGGAAAAAGTATACCTGTATATTCACTTGGTAATCTGTGGGACCATGAATAGATCCATATAAGCCAAATCCGACTATGGAGATTCTTCTATTAACTGTGAACCTGAAAGAAAAAAGCCAAACATAAGTAATTCTGCAAATCTTCATATTCAGAAGTTTTGTAATTTTTATGTGTTATCTGGAATATCCAGTTTTATTTAAAAAAAACTATCAGAAATTAGATATCCTTGGAAATGTTTTTTGCTGACTTCAAAAAGCTTTTTTTCTACAGTAAATTCAAACTTAAAAGGAACTTATTTGTTTTCTGTACTGTAAAAGGAATTTCTCTGACCTAAATACCCACCTTTGTAATGATAACTTTACTACAGTACTAGTCCAAATATGTTAGTACATCCCCTTAAGGGACACAGGCCCATTAGCCAGCAGGACTGAAGCCTAGCATCCCCAGATCATGACAATCTGTCAGGTCAATCACTGTTCACTTACAGAGGGCCTGTCACATTACAACACTGGGCCTGGCACTGGAGAAATAAAGTCAACAGGGCCCAGTTTCTACCCCTGTTTGGGTAGAATAAATCATTTCACAAAACTCTAATTTTCCTCACAATAAATTCCTAGAAGTAGAACTGCTGTTGAAAATGTAGGGCTGTTGTAAAAGAAAATACTGAGACAGGTCCTAATTTACACAAGTGACTCAACTGAGGATTCCATCAGAATAACTAGCTAATACAGTTTGGTCATAATAAGCAAGAAATATTGACCCATCTTACTCCATTTTATAAATACATGAAAACTGACAAGACCGATGAAACTAAAAGTATATATAATCTGAGATAATCTGTAATATCAAATATTGATTCAGCAGTAACTTTAACTATGATTAATACCACTAGCATGCCACCACCACTTAATGGGCACTTCCGAATGTGCCAAGCACAGAGCGTTAGTTCTTTACCAATTTTTACCTTTTTTTTTTTTTTTTTTTTTGAGACAGAGCCTCAAGCTGTCCCCCTGGGTAGAGTGCCGTGGCATTACAGCTCACAGCAACCTCCAACTCCTGGGCTCAAGCGAGTCTCCTGCCTCCGCCTCCCAAGTAGCTGGGACCACAGGCGCCCGCCACAACGCCCGGCTATTTTTTTTTTTGGTTGCAGCCGTCATTGTTGTTTGGCGGGTCCGGGCTGGGGATTCGAACCCGCCACCTTAGGTGTACGTGGCTGGCACCTTAGCCGGTTGAGCTATAGGCGCCGAGCCACCAATTTTTACCTTTAATTATCATAATGATCCTATGTACTAGGTAACAGTATCATTTTTGTTTTTGTAGTTAAAGAAACTGAGTTTTAGAGAAATTAACTTTTCCAGGTCAAAAGTGTGCCACACCACTTCAGGTCTACTTGGATCAAAAGCCAAGGGTTTTTTTTTTTTTTTTTTTGAGAGTTTCACTATATCACCCTGGGTAGAGTGCTGTGGTGTCACAGCTCACTGCAACCTCAACTTTTGGGCTTCCACCATTCTCTTGCCTTAGCCTCCCATGTAGCTGGGACCACAGGTGCCCGTCACAATGTCTGGCTATTTTTTGGTTCTAGTTCTCATTGTTTTTTGGCAGGTCCGGGCTGGATTTAAACCTAGCCGCTGAGCCTCTGGCGCCGAGCCCATGTTGGGTTTTTTTGTGTTTTGAGATAAAGTCTCACTCTGTTGCCCTGGGTAAAGTGCCATGGCCTCATAGCTCACAGCAATCTCAAACTCCAGGGCTCAAGAGATCCTCTTGTCTCAGCCTCCCAAGTAGCCAGGATTATAGGTGCCCACCACAATGCTCAGCTACTTTTTCTATTTTTAGTAGAGAAGGGGGTTTCACTTTCGCGCAGGCTGGTCTTGAACTTCTGAGCTCGAGTAATCTACCTGTCTTGGCCTCCCAAAATAGTAGGATTATAGGTTGAGACACGTCATCCAGCCAAAAGCCAGGCTCTTAACAACCACAGTAAAACCTTATTAACCCACTGTGTTTCTTTTTCAGTTTTCTGTGAATATATCTGTTACTATTTTAAAAAATCATATACATATTTTTGTAACCTCTTTTTCATGTAAAATGGTAAAAAATTGCTACTAATTCACTATATTTAACTAATCACTTGTTCGATAATCTAGGTTATTTGCAGTTATTATTATATTAATGCCATAATGAATCTTATGGCTAAATCATTTTACAAAACCCTAATTTTCCCCAAGATAAATTCCTAGAAGTAGAACTGCTGTCAAAAATGAAAGGCATGGGCTCGGTGCCTGTGGCTCAAGCGGCTAAGGCGCCAGCTACATACACCTAAGGTGGCAGGTTTGAATCCCCAGCCCGGGCCGCCAAGCAACAATGACGGCTGCAACCAAAAAATGGCCAGGCATTGTGGCAGGCGCCTGTAGTCCCAGCTACTTGGGAGGCTGAGGCAGGAGACTCGCTTGAGCACAGGAGCTGGAGGTTGCTGTGAGCTGATGCCATGGCACTCTACCCAGGGGGATAGCTTGAGGCTCCGTCTCAAAAAAAAAAAAAAAAAAAAAGAAAGGCATGCTCTTAAGGCTTTAGATAAACACTGTCAAACTGCATTCTGGACTGGTAACACTTTACACCACATAAGGTAGAAAGATCATTTTCTTTCTTCTCAACCATAAGAATTGTAACTTCCTTTTGGTTTTGAGAAATTGATGATTGACACATTCCATTTATATTTCTCTGTTTACTAATGAGGTAAAATATTTGCTCATATCTTACTGTCGCTGGATTTCCTCTTTAATTAAATACCCATTCATGTTCTTTTCTCTTTTTTTTCCTACTGAGGAAAAAAATTGATGAGTCTGTCTTTTAAACACATTTGAAAGAGCATGTTAAATTTAAACTATAGTAATTTATGCTTTGTTGCTAATACCCATTATAAAAAGTTCCCCATATGTCATCACTTTTTTTTCTTTTTTGAGACAGAGTCTCACTTTGTTGCCCTCTGTAGAGTCCCGTGGCATCACAGCAACCTCTAACTCTTGGGATTAAATGATTCTCTTGGCCCAGCCTCCCAAGTAGCTGGGACTACAGGCACACTCCACAGCACCTGGCTATTTTTTGTTGCAGTTGTCATTGCTGTTTAGCTGGCCTGGGCCGGGTTCAAACCCACCAGCCTCGGTGTATGTGGCTGGTGCCATAACCACTGTGCTATGGGTGCCAAGCCATTTATCTTTTAACTTTACTGTGATTTTATACGTTAAAGTTTTGAATTATCTTTCCAATTTTAGACTATGTGCTGCCGAAGTGAGCACAAAGTTTTGAATTATCCGTAGTCAAAATTCTGATCTATGCCAAGTTTAGAGAGGCCTACATCATCCTCATAGTAAATAAACATTCATTCATTCAGCAATTTCATGGTTTTTCATTTAATGTTAAAAATTTTAATTTATATAAATATAAATATTTTAATTTATATAAATATTGGTACATGGGATCTAACTTTATTTCCCCTTAATCCTTCCTTCACCTTTATTATTTTCTAAATATTCATTTATTTTAGTGATTTCCACACAACACTGTGGTCTGTTTCATACAAAACTACCTTCTTATAGCATCAATACTTTTCTGTTTGATCTGTACCAACCATTTTAAAAGAGAAACACTCTTTGAGATTAACTTTAAAATAATTTTGCCAAGTCACTCCCCCCACCAAAACTATGTGACTTCGGAAAGGAACTGATTTAACATATGTGAGTTAATTTGGAAGACATTCCCCTTATTAAAGTTCTACTTGAAGTTCTCTAGTGCTTCATAAAGGTAATATACTATACTGTACATTTCTTAGTTTAATTCTACAACTTTATGTTATTTATTACTATTGTGAATGGGATTATTCATAATACTAATTTTCAATATGTATTACAAAAATATAGTAATACTAAAAATAATATGTTTATTCAAGTTAGAACTGGAATTTTTATTTTTTTTTTTTTGCAGTTTTTGGCCAGGGCTGGGTTTGAACCCGCCACTTCTGGAATATGGGGCCACTCCCAAAACTGGATATTTTTACATTAAATTTTTTTTTTTTGAGACAGAGCCTCAAGCTTTCCCCCTGGGTAGAGTGCTGTGGCATCACAGCTCACAGCAACCTCCAACTCCTGGGCTCAAGCGAGTCTACTGCCTCAGCCTCCCAAG